GCTGTGCACCCTGGGTGGGATGCATGGACATCATGTTGCGTCCTTCACACTAAGTTCCTCCTGGGGAATTCTCAAACCTAGGCGCATTCCCAGGCCAGTTCCAGAAAAAAACAGAAAAGTCTGGGGTGGGGGCAGTGAGGCAGATGTGGGTCAGGAGAGCATGTGTGTGAGGGGAGCCTGGGGCCTTCTAAAGTGTGTGCAGAGCTCCAGCTTGATGGTTGGGAGCCGGCGGGCCACCACAGCACCCAGGGGTGCGGGGACGGTTTGAAGGGCGCTTGCAGGCAGCAGGTTGTTGCTGTTTTTAGGAGAGACCATGTAAATTCGGACATGATGCCAGTTTTTATCTCCTGGCAACCCACCCGGCTTTGCCAGGAGCCCTCTATGTGGGCAGCAGGGCTCGGCTTATGCCTGAACCAGTACAAGCCTTTTCCTCATCTGGGAACAGGCTTTTAAAAGAAAAGTTGCAAAAAATATTTTGAACCCTTGTACAAAGTGGGGCTCCCTGCTTGGATACGTAAGTTCTGGAATATCTGCTACGCCTGGGCTGCGGGAGGGAGAGAGCAGGACATTGGGAAGCAAGGAGCAGGGCACCCTGGAGCTCCTTCCTGGTCCCCCCGCCACTTACACCACCCCTGTTCGGCGACGGACCCCGGACCCCAGCGTGTTGTGTCCAGCGCGCCGCTGCGCTGGTCTTCGCTGGTGCTCACCCCCTGCCTGACCTCCTCGGGCAGGGCGCCCTGCATCCCTCTGCATCAGTGTCCCCCTCCAGACTGGTGGGCCGGCAGGGATTGGGGTGACAAGCTGAGTGTAGCACGGTAGCAGGAGTGCGAGCTAGCCCGAGTTTCCATTCAACGAATCGGTGAGTTTATGAATGAACTCAGTAATGAATCAGTTTAATTCATGGGAATTAACTTCACAAAAGTTTCTGCCGCGGACTCCAGGAGCTCCTCATTCAGGTGGGGAGGCTGCTCTGACCCCTGACCCCTGACCCCGGCCGTGTTCCTGCTCTGGGCAGGACATATGCCGAGGACCCTAAGGAGGCGGTCAAGCAGTGTGAGCTGCTCCTGGAGGAGCCAGAGCTGGACAGCAGCGTCCGCGTCGGGGACGTCTACAGCTTCCTGGTGCAGCACTACCTGCAGACGGAGGAGTTCCAGGCGGTGAGGCGGAGTGGGGGCGGGGCTTCCGGGAAGGGGCGGGGCTTCTGGGGAAGGGGGCGGGCTCCGCTTCGAGGCCGTCCCCGCCCTCTGAGTCGCAGGTGTTGCTCCTGTGTTTGATTTTTCAGCCTTTTTTATTTGGAATAGTTTCAAACTGAGAATTACAAGAATAAGAGAACCCACACATAACCCTTCATCAGATTTGGCAGGTTTAAACATTTTGCTACGTTTACTTACTCATTTTACGTGTGTGTTTTCAAATTTCTATTTTCTACCTAACATGGGTATTTTTCTGAGTGCTCTGAGAATCGCAGGCGCCCTGCCCTTCCCGCTTGGTTTGCAGACACTCGGGTAGATGCCCAGGGCTGGGATGGTGGGGTTGTGTGGTAAGTGTGTGTTTAACGTTTTAAGAATCTGCCAGACTTCTTCCTTTTTGTAGTGTCTTTTCCACGGTTGGTTTCAAGGTTATTCTAGCCTTATAAAATGCACTGGGGAGCATGCCCACCTCCCGTATTTTCCAGAAGAGTTTATGTAAGATTGCTGTGATTTCTTCCTTCCTTGATAGAATGCCTACCTGAACCCACCTGGCCTGGAGCTTTCTTTGCAGAAGGGTTTCGGTGATTCATTTTACCAGAGCACTTCGCAGACATTTTGGTGTCTGGACCCCTTTGCACTAGGAAAGTTATTGAGGACCCAAAGACCAGTGGTCTGTGTGGGGCGCACCTACCAGGATTTACTATTACCCAATAAAACTAATGTAAAAATATTTGTTAATTCACTTAAACCCGCGATATGTTAACATAAGTAACATTTTCATTAAAGCAATTTTATAACTTTTATATTTTGCAAAACAAATTGAGTGAGGAAAGTAGCACTATGTTACATTTCTCCAAATCTCTCATCCGGCTAAATCCGATGGGATCAGTTTCTGCTTTTGCACTCAATTTGGTAAAATAGGGTTTTTCTTAGCTGAAATATATGAAGAAAATGTAGCCTCACAGCAATACGTAGGTGAAGGGGCCTTTTCAGACACGTGCAGGCCACCTTTGATGCTGCGCCACAAGTCAACAAGTGGTAATTCTTTTTTTTTAATGTTTATTTATTTTTGAGGAGAGGATTTGAAGCAGGCTCTGTGCCGAGAGCAGAGAGCCCAATATGGGGCTCGAACTCACGAACTATGAGATCAAGACCTGACCTGAAGTCAGCTGAGCCACCTAGGCACCCCAGGTGGCAATTCTCAAAAGTTAGTTGCGATGTTGGAATGCTGTTGTATTCTGTCACATTTAAAACTCGATGGTCTGTCTCAGATCTTTTACACACGCATCGTTTTATGACATCATGTTGTTTGCGGAGTTAGAAGATGTTGACACGTTTCATTATACGTATCAGAACACCATATTTGCAGAAATCACCACCAGCCTCGTCAGAAAATATGGCACTGGGAAGACGTCCGGCTCGTGGTGGCCGATACGTAAGGTTTCTGAAATCCTTCCGTTTAAAAGCTCAGATTTTATCCTTGGCAAAACTATTGCCTGTTACTCTTTCCCTTGATGTGGTGGCCCCTTGGTTCCTTTGTGAGATAGTCTGCCACGAACCCGAGTCTGAGTAGCCACGCTTACCTGCAGTCACGTTTACAAGTAAAGGCGGTATTCTGTGCGCGAGCGGCCACTTTTGCTCACGACCTCCAAAGCTGTGCCTCGTCTCCGCGCACGTTCGGTACAACCCGTCTTTCACTTCCGCCATCCTGGTGGGTGCGTCGCGGTAGCTCATGGTGGTTTCAGTGCCCCTCTCTCTCTGGCCACCGGTGTTGCGCAGCTGCTCATAGGTTCGTCTCCTCCTCCAAGTGCCCGAATCCTCCCCTGTCAGTTTGTTGGGGGTTTGTCTTCTCAACGTTGCTTGTGGCCCTTATGAATTCTGGGTACCTTTCCTTTACCAGCGTGTGACCACTAGTGCTTTCTCCCTGTCTGGGGGAAATTCCCTCCTGTCCCTCTCTCCTCTCCTTACGGAACTCCAATTATCTGTGTATACTATCCCCTGGTTCAACTGATTGTCCTCTTTTTTTTTCCAGAGTTTTCTCTGGTTCTCAATTTTGGTGGTGGCTTTTACCGTTGCTTCAAGTTTACCAGTCCTGTTCAGGCCTCTTGATGTTGCTCCTGGGCCTGTATTACATCTGCTGTTATAATTTTCCCCACTAGTAGCTTCTGGATCACATCGAGTTAGCTCCCTTGTCTTTTCTCTCGAGTTTGGTCACATCTTGTTGTTCCTTACATCTAGCAGTTCCTGGACGTTATGGATAAACCACCATAGAGACTCTGGTTTTTTTAGGTTCCTTCCTTCCTTCCTTCCTTCCTT